CAAATACATATTCAATGATATGAAATGCATAGTCTGTGAAATGAAATGAATATTGAGTGATACAAAATGCACATTCAGTTATATGGAATAATTCGCGACTTCTATTTTTGTAGTTCCTTTTTGAAGTATGTGCAGTGCACGATGTTTTATCGATATTGTCAACATTTTGATATAATTCTTTGATAAGAAATAATTGAAAAATTAACGGGAAAGTCGCCTTTAATTGGCAATAACTCCTATGATTAGTCATAATTGTTAGTTCATTGAAAATATCACGAAGTTAACGATATAAACGATGTACACAGTATATAAGAGTTGTTACAATGTAAACGATGTTGACACGATATTGTTACTTCATTGTTAACAATGTCAATGATCTAAACAGTATATAATAGTTCTTACAATGTAAACGGCGTAAACATTGTTGATATCGCGATGTAAACACGATATCGTTACTACATTGTATACATCGCGATGTTAACGTTGTCAAAGATGTAAACAATAAATGCCACGGAAGTGTGGGATAATTGTGGGATATGTTATTCAAATAAATTAGAAAATTTGCAATTGGAAGCCGCAAGAATTGTAACAGGTCTACCAATCTTCACTAAAACTGATACTCTGTACTCTGAGGTTGGCTGGGAATCTTTATACGAAAGACGAAGAAGAAGAAAATTACAGATGTTTTATAATATAAATAAAAAACATGCACCTCAGTACCTGTGTAATCTTGTCCCCCCATGTATACAAAGTACAACCAACTATCCGTTGCGAAACGGTCAAAATATCATTGTTCCATTTTGTAGACTTTCCCTTACCACTGAATCTTTTATTCCATCCACAATACGAGAATGGAATAAGCTTGACTTAAAAATTCGAAACACCGACTCTATATCTAAATTTAAGAGAGAATTGAAAAATGAAAGTGTTCAGAGTAGAGTTGCGCCGTATTATATGTACGGTCCGAGGAAACTGAATATTATTTTGACTCAATTGCGATGTTCCGCTTCATTTTTGAACTCTGACCTTTTCAAAGCTAACATTATACTGGATCCTTCGTGTCAGTGTGGGTCTGATATTGAGGATGTTCATCATTTTCTTTTAGTTTGCCCAAAATACACTACATGTAGAGAAATTTTACTTAACAATCTTAATTGGCTTACTGAAAACTATATATTATTGATACTAAACTATTAACTTGCGGAGATCTTGAACTTTCGAATGAACAAAATCTCCTAATTTTCAAACATGTTCAAGATTTTATTAAAAGGTCTAACAGATTTCTAGTACCTTCATAAAATATTATTGCTACCGGCACGGATGATCATCACCATCAAACCTAAGTCAACATCACAGAAAATATAATTTGCTTCTTTTTCTTTTCCTCCTTTTCCATTCTTCTTGTTCTTTTTTCTTTTTATTTATAGTTCGTATAATATTTAATGAATTTGTTAGCTTTACATGCATGCTCATAATGTTATTATTGTATATATACTTGTATTGTAATATGGAGAAGACTTCATAAGTATGATTTACTTGTGTCTCATCCATTTTGCTGATATTTAGCAAATAAAATATGTTTAAACTAAACAATAAATAAGAGTTCATACAATGTAACAATGTTGACACGATATCGTGTTAAGATTGTAGATATCGCGATGTCGACAATATTATTGTTTTTACATTGTGCGCTGGACATGGATGTTCTTTTTATGATTAGAATAATGTAATATTTTTTGCTTTTTATTTTTTTAGTAATGATATATTCATTTTGTTTTGAAATTTAAGTTATGATAAAAATTACTTCCGAAATACATCATTAACAGATCTAAACACATATGACAGTTACACTTAGGGGCTTGCGTTCTGAAGATAACCATTACACTGCAGGTTCAATATATCATGATTGGTATTACTAGGGATAGCTTCACATTAGTTTAAAACTGCAATAACTGTCCTTCCATATATTTAGATATTTCAGTTTCAAATTGGAATACTGTATAAAAATTAACGACAAAAGGGACGATTGAGCAACACAAACCTTACTAAAATCCGGGGGTGAACTCATGTGCTCAAACAAACAAACAAAATCTGGCTTTTGTTATAAATAGGTCTGAACACTTTATACAGTTTTACATCCTGTCGATATTTATATTTTGGCATTACACTAGGTCATGTTTTTTTCTCTGAATGCTTAGGGGTCTTTACATTAAACCTATGGGATGTGTGGAAAAACATGGTTTTATTAATATAATTGAAATTTGCTTTGAACTAGCTTCCAGTTACTGCGAATAATGTTGAATTGGTACCCTTGTTTTGTTTAATTGATAGTTTTTTTTCTGTGCTTTGTGTCGATCAGAAGAGTCAAGCCCTTTCCAGCTGATTTTTTATAGTTTTTTTTATGTTGTGCTGTTTCACCACTGTCCTATGTTAAGTGGATGATCAAGCACTCAAAAACATGGTTAACAACCACATTATATATATGCTTGTCTAAAATCAGAAGCATGTAATTCAATGATTATTGGTTGCTGTTCATCATATTTGTTTTCGTTGATTGACTTTAGCATTAGCATTTAGCATTGGTTTTCTCTTTTGATTTATTTCACATTTTGTCATGCATGGGCCTTTTATAGCTTACTATACACAAGGTCATGTTTTTCTCTGACTGTTAATGGCATCTTTACACTAAATCCATTAGATGTTGCATGTGTACTGATTGATGTTTTAATCGTAGATTCCTTTTTTTTTATTAGTTGTTATTGGATTTGAACTAGCTGTCAGTAACTGCAGGTACTCTCAGATCTGTCCTTAGCGTCTTTTTAGTTGTGGGGATATATAAGTACCCTGCCACATCCGGTCTGTGTTTTTATTAGATGTATGTCTGCTTTGTATCGATCTGATGATTTAAGCCCTTTTCAACTGATTTTAATAGTTTGTTCTTATGTTGTACTGTTACACCACTGTCCCAAGTTAGGGAGAGGGTTGGCGCCTTCAAACTAGTTTAACCCCACCACATTCTGTATGTGCCTGTCCCCTGTCCGGCGCCTGTAATTCAGTGGTTGTCGTTTGTTGCTGTATTTCATATTTGTTTTTCGTTCATTATTTTGTACATAAATCAGGCCGTTATAGTTTTCTCGTTTGAGTTGTTTTTACATTTTTCATTTTGGGACCTTTTTTAGCTGACTATGCGGTATGGGTTTTGCTCATTGTTGAAGGTCGTGCGGCAACCTATAGTTGTTTAAAACTTCTATGTCATGTGGTCTCTTGTGGAAAGTCGTTTCATTATCAATCATACCACATCTTCCTATTTTTATATATGGCGTTTGCTTACTGTTGAAGGTCGTACAGTGACCTATATTTGTTTTCATCTTCGTCATTTGGTCTATAGTGGATAGTTGTCTCATTGGTTAGCATATCACATCCCTCTTTTTATATTCATAATTACATAATTAGTACACATTTGAAGTTTGACATTGAATATATATTAGAGATTGTTATGTAGTGCACATAGATATTCATAAAGGCGACGCTATTATAATGTTTCTTCTGTTCCGTGATATCATTCACATTTTTTTTTTATTTATACAAGGAGTTGTGGGTAACAAATCAATTAGACAGCAATCCAACAACAAAAGTAAGACCAGAGTGACATCTTGAGGGTACCAAACAGTGTAAACTATTCACCTTGTCGGCATATTAATATGAGTGTTGTTTTTCTTCACTGGTGTTAAACTGATAATCGTAACTGGAATTACGACGATCCCAATATGGCGACGGCAGAAATAGGTAAAATCTTTTCAGTCATTTTCTCAAATGTAGCCCGTTGTTGTCAAGAGTTACTCAGCTGCAAGGTTTTTCTATACCATTACATCATATTTGAATCGTAACGGTGCACTGCTGAGTAACTCTTGACAACAACGGGCTACATTTGAGAAAAATGACTGAAAAGATTTTAAAATTGAGAATGGAAATGGGGAATGTAGAGCAGACAACAGCCGAAGGCCACCAATGGGTCTTCAATGCAGCGAGAAACTCCCGCACCCGGAGGCGTCCTTCAGTTGGCCCCTAAACAAATATGTATACTAGTTCAGTGATAATGGACGTCATACTAAACTCCAAATTATACACAAGAAACTAAAATTAAAAATGATACAAGACTAACAAAGGCCAGAGGCTCCTGACTTGGGACAGGCGCAAAAATGCGGCGGGGTTAAACATGTTTTTTGAGATCTCAACCCTCCCCCTATACCTCTAGCCAATCTAGAAAAAACAAACGCACAACAGTACGCACAGTAAAACTCAGTTTAAGAGAAGTCCGAGTCCGATGTCAGAATAGGAAACATAAGAAAATAAACAAAATGACAATAATACATAAATAGCAACAGACTACTAGCAGTTACTAACATGCCAGCTCTAGACCTCAATTAAACTGATTGAAAGATTATGTCTTCATCATATGAATATCATATTTCTGCCGTCGCCATATTGGGATTGTCGTAATTCCAGTTACGATTATCAGTTTAACACCAGTGTTCTTGTAGTTGTCTAGATCTATTATTGTGGGGGAAATCTAGATATGAACAGACAATAAGAAAAGAAATGTAAATTTATGTTTCCCTTGTTCATAAAACTTTATAGCTTGCTATGTGGTATGAATTTTGTCCATTGTTGAAGGCCATACGGTGACCTATAGTTACTAACTTATGCGTCATTTGTGTCTCTGGTAGAGAATATCAGTTGTCTAATTTGCATTCATATCATATCCTCTAATTTTAAATAATATCGTCCCGAACATGCACGTTTGCCACTCGACGTTAAGCAAAGAACAACCAATCAATCTAATTTTATATTCCAAAAAACAATGCATGCATGGTTCATTAAGTAATAACTTTTTATTCTTAGTTCATTGATTTCAGAATTCCAAAAGTATGGTTTCTGAACAAAAAATGTCCGTTTTACCAATTAGATTTATTTCTAGTGACAAGTGAATATTATCAATACTAGTAGTTTAAACATATTTTATTAGCTAAATTGAAGCAAAGTAGATGAGACACAAGTAAATCATACTTATGAAGTCTTCTTCATGTATCAACAGTATTAACAATTAAAATTAGTTCTGAAAATACAATCTCAGTTAATGCTTGTTAAGCTTATTTCAAAGTCATTTTGAAAATGTTTTCTATAAAATTTTCTACAATAATTCTACCAATAATCATGTTCAGACGTTGCCAGAGATCTATCTGAAAATTGATTAGCAAGAAACAAATCATATATCACAGCCATGCTATATCATTAGTAAATATATAACACGTGTGATCGTACTATAATAATTTACACGTGTGGTCGTAATTTTATAATTTACACGTGCGGTCGTATTTTTCATACTTCTCGCTATACATCAGTTGTATAAGTGCTTATAAGCACATGTTTGTACGATTTAATTAAACTTCTGTAATACTGCTGGAATCCCAAAAACTCCAAGACAAAGCTGTAAAGAATGATTTAATCAAAATCACTTTGTTTAGGTCGGTTCTAAGCGACAATATCTTTGTTTGATAATCCTTTTTAAGTTCTATTGTCAGCTTAACTCTCTGGGTGAGTCATAAGCCTACGTATCCAAACAGACATCAGATTTTGCATACTTTCGTAACAGTCATGGTGACTAACACCCTGTGGACATCTGAAAGGGAATTTCGTTCCATGTATTTGTCTTTTATGTAAAGTAATTACATCTGAAAAGAAAAAAAAGCAGTGTAAAATATATATTGAGTACTGAGTAAAAGAAGATATGAAAAAAATATCATGAGTTAGAAATCCCATTACCACGATAACAAAATGCATTGATAGGTCACTTAATGGTCTTCAATAATGGAAATGTTGATCCCAATCGGCCAGATAGAGGCACGTTAATGAATTTTACAATTTGAAAATATCACATTAACACAGCCTCCGTATATATGATATAGATCCTTTCAAAATCGTATTAACTGATGCAGCATGGAACTGTTAGATATCTTTGATAAACGTTCCCTCCCGGCATATTTTATTTTACTGCAATCTTTTTCTTTTGCTTTCCAAAATGTTACCATGTTCTCAAGAAAGTGCTTATATATATGTTGTGTACAAGATGTAAGTTTGTACAAATTATAATTTGTACAGGGTTTTTGTACAAGTTATAAGTTTTTTGACACATACCTGTTTGCACCAGGTGATAAAAGTTTATCTTCTAAAATGTCTCAGTTTAATTTCTTAAATTCAAATTAATATACTTCGACCTAACATTTAGTGCTATTCTCCTTGTCCTCAGACTAGAAATAAGGACACCTGAATGGTTTAAATTATATTTTCATTTTTCTCCTTATACCAAAATCATATCCATAAAAAGTCTTTTCGTGTTCTTATAATGTTTTATGTATCCAGAGACATATTGTATTATATGTCTCTGATGTATCAATGTTCAATTTAGACTGTATCATGTACTCATGGAAATATGACAGAAATAAGCAAAACAAAAGACTGTGTACTTGCATCATTCATTTGTGTTAAGCGATTCATAAATCACTGATAACTTGTACAAAAAATCTGTACAAATTATAATTTGTACAACATTACAATTTGTACACAACATATATATACATTGTACTAGTCAACCAAATTAATGACAAACAAGATTGAATTTAAAATTATCATAAAATCTAAAAATATATAATGGAAAAGTGCTTATGTACATAAATTGAAAAACAAATATTTTTCAAAGCGAGTGCACATAATTCATAAAATCATTCCTATTTGGGAAGTGAGAAAATACATTGTTATTGAGAAGAAGGTAATTTTTTTACGGAAAATGAAAAAATCGGCACCCAATTCGAAGATGAGAATGTATCATACAAATATCTTAGAAGGAATTTAGAGTTTTAATAAGGCCATGTTTTATTACCTAATTTTAAGTTCAATTGTGTTTCTTTAAATATTTTTGGGAAAAAGAAGATTAATGAAATCAACTATATAGCGAATAGAATATTTTGCGTTTGTGATCTCAATGATTTTGATGAATAGACAATTTGTTGCGGCTTTTCTGACCGGAAAATCAGGATATCAATTTGTGATAGAACGGCGGTTGGGTGGATGGGTGGGTAGGCGAACGGCTGCAGTTGTTTCCGTACAATTATGCGATAACCGTTTTTCCATCGATTATTTAATTAAAGATGATTTTACTGGTGACAAATTGGAGATCAAATTCGATATTGATGATTTTCACTTTTGCCGTTATTGATTGGATAATGACACTTTATGTTAATTCCTTGTGATAATTTAAGAATGCTTAATCGAATACTTTTCAAGTTTTAGTATGTCGTTTCTCATGACAAATTATGATTTTCACTTTTGACGTTCGAGAGTTTTTGATTCTTGGTTGCTTAAACAATGTCACTGATAAATATATGACCAGTAAACAGTAACTGTTTGCTGTCATTTTACAGCCTCATGTTCAGCTCGGTATCGTGTTATATGCTAAATGCATGGTCTTATATCGCCTTACATAATTTATTTTGTTGACTATATACTTTTATATAAACGAAAAAGTAATTTGATTATTATTATATAAATATATTTATATAATGTATAGTTATCATAAGGAATAACATCAGAAGTACTAGGTTCACTAGGTGCAAATGTAGATTTTCAAAATGTATACATGTATAATTGTTTGCGTATTTATAGGAGACGTCAATGTTTTTAACATTAACCATGATTGATGTGGTAAACAATTAACAAACAAATTAATATGTAATCAAAATAACATAGAGTCAGTTAAATATTTTACGACAAAAAAGTACATCATTTTTTTTCTATATAGGATGTGTGATCAAGATAAAAATTCTTTTGATGACCAAAATAAGGATTGTCAATTAATTTTCTTTCAAATGAGATTTCTAGTTGTTTTACATGGTTTAATAAAAGAGTGCTCTATTTTGAAATTAAACCTCATAATTTAAAAGAATACCCATGGAAGTAATATAAATTATTTGATTAAAAAAAATTTCATTCATTGAAATAGAAATACATTTATCACCTGCACTGTCGACGCCTACAAACTTCTGATAGTTTTTCATTTTGAATGCAGCATGTGATGCTTAAATGTTGTATGGAATAAGTGCACAGTGCACTATTGAAAAATTGAATAATTATTTCTTCGTCCCACTCAACCGGTCCTCAAGCATTTTCTGTAAAGGTCAAAGTATGAATCATGTTGTAGATCCCACCCCTAAAATTTATTCCTACGTATAAAAATAATGCCGGTACCTACCCTGATCATTTTTAAATGAAGCTACTTTTAAGTCATTCCTATAACTTGCGAAAGAAAATGACTGTAAAACGAGTAGGGACTTTTTATGTTATAATACTATGTATAAAGGAATGGATTTTTAATTTTGTTAGAATCTGTCGGCTTTTATGGCTCTATATGTATTTATTAATCTTTGACTTTCTAAACTTTCAGCTTTGGGCGCTCCGGATGAGGGCGTATCCAGGTGTGTGCAGAGGCTGAGACAAAATTAATTTGTTTTATATTGATCAACATGTGATTTACAAAGAAATATTCTTCCTAATATATAAGATAATTATACTTTCTTTTGATTTGTTAATAGTGTGATTTTTTAATTCAAGGTACCAAAAAAGTAACCTTATTCATACCTTCTCCTTTAGTCATTAGGTTTTTTTTATTGGGGGGGGGGGGGGGGGGGTGGTGGGTGGGGAAGAACTTTATGTTCTTTTTTTTAAGCTGCTTGTTGCTGGTATAAAACAAATCTCCTTTTATTCAAGCTTATTAACGGACGAATAATACCTTCTTAAAATAACAATTGATCGACCGTTTAAATCTTTAGATTAAAAACCACACATTCATATATACGGTTAAACTATTTTTAATGAAATTACTGTATACATAGAGAATCTACCACTGCATCGAGTGTTATACGAAATTTTTCTACTCGAGATATTCAAAATTTAACTGTGGAGATTGGAGAAATATCGTATGTGCGAGATGAGATGGAAGAATCTGTTTCTCTGATGATATTTCACAATTTGTAGACTAGCTCAAACTTACTTTTTCTACTGAAATATATATATTTTTTTTTTGTGGCGTTATATGGCATGGTTGTCTTTTCCGTGAAGTCACAAAAGCAAATCAGTGGAAAGCAATAACATTTGACGTCATAATTGAATTTTGACAAATGAAGAACTGGGATCAAACAAACCACACATTTATAATACAAAAATAATCAACCTGTCGGGGAAAGTATAAATCTGCCGAGAATTATGAAAATAATATTAACTGATATTACAGTTTGATTAAATCCGTCTAAAACAGTTTAGTCCTCATTACTATTACAAAGGAAACAATTGAATAATATCATTTGAAATACAATCCCAATTCATATCTTTGATATAAAGATTGTAGTTCTATAAACAAATGTCACTAACTTCCTAATTGACAGAATTAAATGTAAACCATAATTATAAGGAGGAAAAGTATTAACGCCTATAATAGAAGTATTATGAAAATAAGCAAATTTTGATCCAAATATAGTTGGAATTTTCATATATTGTAGATGAAAAAATTAAATCGTGCCCATTTTAAACGTTAAATGAGAAAGTTTGATGATAAACGCATTTCCTTAAAAAAAATTGTATAGCAAACAAAAAAGACATTTTGAAAAATGACTAACTTTTATAAATAAATAAATAACGCCATATTCTGTATGTGCCTGTCCCAACTCCGAAGCCTTGCTGTATATCATATTCGTTTTTGTTTAATGTTTTGTACACAAATCAGGCAGTTCGTTTTCTCGTTTGAATTGTATTATATTTGTCTTGTAGGTAATCGATTGCCATGCGATATTGGTTTCGCTCATTGCTGAAGGCAATACGGTGACCTATAGTTGCTAACTTCTACGTCATTTGGCCTCTGACAATGATCTCAACCAATATCATATACTAGTAGTCAGTTATTAAATCTCCCCCACACCCCATGACAAAATGACACAATTAACCAACATGCCTTATGACTTTTGCATTACATTGTTTAATGTACATTTACACATGACAAATGTTTATCACAAGGGAAAAAAACTTGGTACTGTTTAGAAACATACAAAAGACATTCAGCTTGTACTTGTAACTATAATGTGATAATGCATTTCTAAATTTTAGTACATGAGAATACTTTTGGTGTTACATGCGAAGCAGGGTACTGTGCTTACCTTATGAGCACCTGGCATTATTGTCGGGAGTTCGGGACATCAAAATTTAGTGATTTAAGCTGCTAACTGGTCATTTGTCACTTTTATTTGTTTTGTCAAAATTTCATAGTTGAGAAATGAAAGTTAATAAAGGCTTTAAACCACGGGGGTTCTTAACATGGGATTTTGGGTACATTTGTGCAGCTGGGATTTCCAAAATACCCCCCATTCATATATTGAATAATTGTGAAATCCCTACCTATACATATATTTCACAGCGAAATCATAACCCATTCATATATTTATCAGCTCAAATAGTACCTAAATATATCACAATTGGTCAATTACTACCTATTGATAAATTTCCTCGGTAAAATTGCACCCCATTGATATATTTGACGTATCAAAAAGGGACCCATTCCAGCGGCACATATGTATATACCTTCATATAGGAAGAGACCCCCCCCGTGCTTTAAACACTGATTTCATACTACTACATTTATTGCAATAATCTAATGAAAATGAAAATGACACTTTATAAATTTGTTGCGCAAAAGCGCTTTCTGGATTAACCTTTATTAGGAACTCCCAACCAAAATTGGAAACTCAAGGAAGTACAAATACTTTAATACTTAAGGAGCGTTATAACAAAAAAATATGTATAAAGAATAGCAAATCCACATGTGGTAAACTTTACATGATATTGTTGGAGTCTACGTTTTAGTAAACTTTGCATGAGAGTGTTGGAGTCTACGTTTTAGTAAACTTTGCATGAGAGTGAAAGAGTCTACGTTTTGTTAAACTTTGCATGAGAGAGTTGGAGTCTACGTTTTGGTAAACTTTGCATGAGAGTGTTGGAGTCTACGATTTGGTAAACTTTGCATGAGAGTGTTGGAGTCTACGTTTTGGTAAACTTTGCATGAGAGTGATGGAGTCTACGTTTCGGTAAACTTTGCATGAGAGTGTTGGAGTCTACGTTTTGGTAAACTTTGCATGAGAGTGTTGGAGTCTACGATTTAGTAAACTTTGAATGAGAGTGTTGGAGTCTACGTTTTGGTTAACTTTGCATCAGAGCGTTGGAGTCTACGTGTTATGTAACTTTGCATGAGAGTGTTGGAGTCTACGTTTTGGTAAACTTTGCATGATAGTGTTGGAGTCTACGATTTAGTAAACTTTGCATGAGAGTGTTGGAGTCTACGTTTTGGTAAACTTTGCATGAGAGTGATGGAGTCTACGTTTTAGTAAACTTTGCATGAGAGTATTGGAGTCTACGTTTTGGTAAACTTTGCATGAGAGTGTTGGAGTCTACGTTTTGGTAAACTTTGCATGAGAGTGTTGGAGTCTACGTTTTGGTAAACTTTGCATGAGAGTGTTGGAATCTACGTTTTGGTAAACTTTGCATGAGAGTGTTGGAGTCTACATTTTAGTAAACTTTGCATGAGAGTGTTGGAGTCTACGTCGTTAATAATTTCTTGATATAAGAGAAGAAACGAAGAAAGATATGGAATTATTTATGTCATCACTAAAGCTCTGACTATTGCGCTGGTGATTCCCTCGGAGACTAGCAGTCCACAAGCAGCGGTATCGACCCGGTGCTAGAAAATGAGAATAGCATGAGCTTTCTCTCAATTGTCACATTGGCGGGAAAATCATCTACAGAATGATGATAAGAATAGAATGATGAAAAGTATAATTTGAACAGATGTTTATGAACATAGAGTGCCGCGATATCATTTATTAAGAAGGTGTTGGTAGTGGTGTACGTTATTCGACCGAACTTAGTATTTTAACAATTCGTTCCTGAAGCTTAAATACAACTAAACGGAAAATTTTCCGAAAGTTTAATGAAAATTTTGTTTGATTCAAGCGGTTCCTTTGCATCTCCAAATATTACACCCCACACGCATTAAAACCTCCTTCTATTTTTTTAATGTTAAGGGGAAGCTATAATTTTAAATTACCAGTTAATTCAGTTATCATTATACGTAAGTGTGATCTATATAACATAAAACCATCACGCATATTCCGTTTGATGTTGCTTGAAATAGAAGTTAACCTTCCTTTTTAGGCGTGAATCGCCAAATTATTTTAAAAAAACTTGAATAAAATCAATGAAATAAATCTAAAAGTCAGTTCTAATAATATTTTCTTCTGAAATAAATATTTCCAATCAATTCAAAATATTTCGAATAAAACTTGTTCAATTAGTTACTGATAACTAAAGCATGCAAGCAAGCGGACAAACAATTTGAAACAAACAAAAATACCTCAAAGCTATTTGGTTTGGATAAAGTATACAAAGTATCAAAAGCAAAAGAAAAGTCAAAGGACTTCGAAGAAATGAAAGAAACTTTTAATATTGTGGATTCTAGATTAAAACCGTACCGGATAGCATCCGTAACATCTGACTCTCAGTAGAAGCGGCTTCAAAGTAGAATACAAAGAAAATGAGAAATTTATATTTTTGAACTATTATAAAAGAATCAGATAGATTCAAAAAAGAAATAACAAAAACCATTAGTTTCGTGTTTTATGTTGAATCCATTTCGTTTTTTTTAATACTAGTAATATTAGTTTAGATTAATTTTGGAACACAAAAGAAAAATAAAGATAAAACCCGATTGAATGAATTTTATTTTTAAAGTTTTTATAAATTTTTATTTTTATTATGATTAAGATTATGAAATTCAAAAATCAAAATCTGAAAAGGAAAATAAAAACAGCATAGAAATAGCAACCTAAAAAAGGGAAAAAATCAGAAAAAAGAAACGACTTTGCAAAAGAAATGTATGATTCTGATTTCAGTACGTATAACACGTGATTGTGGAATAACGGTTCGAAGGTTTTGGGGGAAAAATACACTCAACGTTTTGGAGTATAAAAACAATGAAGTGCCTAATCAGAGAAGCCAAATTTGTCTGGGAGACTTTATTACAGCAAAGTTAAATGAGAATTTGTTTACGGTTATTTAAAAATATTTAATACGAAATCACCTCAAAACGTTAACCGTCTATATCGAATCCTTCATGAGTAACCTTCCCCCACCAAAAGTTAACCTTGCTCGTCGAATCGTTTCATGAGTATCCAATATCCCAAAAGAGAACCCATTTTCTGAAGAGTTCATATTATTTAATGAAAATTATTAAAATGTCAACTTTTCTGAACCCCCCAATAACTGTTATCAAATCCTAAAACTTCAAATAGTAATTACAATGTCTCTATAAGTCTTACCTGATATATGCCTTCCTTCTACATGCCAGCAAATTAATGTTGCCAAAATTAATATATGTATATTTAAAGCTATTTTCCTAGACATTATTCAATTTCAGATTAAGAAGGTCTTCATATAGACATAGCGAACTTGCTATATTATATACATATCTATTAAGGTCATACAATTTTTTTTTACAATGTCAGACATTTATATATGGTTTAGCTCATTCGTCATTAGTTTATATGTTGGTTGCGAAGGCGTTCGTTTCACATCTTAACCATTCATTAGAAAATCCCGCTTAATTCCCAATACCACGATTGTTGTTAGAAAACAATTCTGTAATTGTTACGTATCAAGCAGAGATAAACAAATAAGTAAATGGGTGCGTATCCAATGAACATTCCGTATGTTCTTATAAGGGGAAAACACCACAAGTAAAATGACCACACAAGATCTAAATTATTTTAGTTAATGACTTGTATAACAATTAACCGTTCTGACCTTTCTACTATTAAATACACGGTACATGATTTTCATGTCGTAATATACCAATCCTATAAATAAGGAACTTCTAAAAAGATTATGTTATAATAATCAAGTTGTTTAACTTTTGTACAGATTTATACAACTTTATTTCCTGTAAACTTGTTAAAGATTATTCTTTTTGGACTTTATAGGTTATTAAACCAATAATTATTTAGATACTTTCACGTTTATTTTCACATTATTAAACACAACTGATATATTGAAACTATCTAGATGATTTAAGCCTCAGATATAATGAGAAGCAAGTACACAAATTATTATTTGTGAAAGTATAATAAAAAAAATTGTATGTCTGCTTTGTGTATCATTAATATATTAGCCTGAAATAGGAATATATTTCATTTTAGTTTTCTAGAAATTCGCCACCTTTGTCGACCTTATTTCATGATTTTGTATGTGGCACCACCCCTTGCCCATTGAAATGTTGATTGAAAAGTAAAGAATATGGTATATAAAGAATATTTCAGCAAACATATTTGTGGGCGCTACTGAATATTTTTCAGAAAACTGTCATAAATTTTGTTTAAGTATATAAAAAAATAACATTTTATCGATAGTCACAAACATTGAAGACGTCACAAATATATCACTAATGACGCAATTGGTTAAAATATTCTTTAACTGGAACAATTGTACATTTTAACATATATTTTAATAGGGCAAACATTATGTGTAAAACCTATACTGCTTTACTGTAGTGAAGTTCTATGTTCAGATACTTTGATGAAAAAATAATGCTTCCATGGAGTCTAGATATCTTTCATATCAACCTGTAAAAATTAAAGGAGTAGGTCCGGTAAGGGCCGATTTTGGCCTCAAAATTCAGGTTCATCTAATGTAATATTTTGGACACTTTGTAAACACTTAAGTGTCTACTTCAGTCGATTCAATTAGTTTATGTGAAAGATTTGTACTGATTTAGTCATTTAAGACGCTCAAGTTCAAGCTTAAATATGAAAAATCTATCAAATATGCCATAATATGTGAATTTTCAGATGGTTTTTGTCAAAAATGAAAGTGGCCGCATCCGTGTTCATTCTCAACCTTTATATATGTTATGCAATATTATCAAATACAACTTAAATTTGAATATTAAGAATGAACACAAATGCGGCCACTTCCATTTCAGACGGAAACCGTCTAAAAATTAACCAAAATGCTAAAATTTCGAAGATTTCAGTAATTTAGCATGACTTAATGATGCTAGTACCCGATACATGTGCATTGTATTGTCAAAAACAGCCCATATTTATGTAACAGAAGTATTCTTCTTTCCAATAAATAGCTAAAAACTTACATTTTAACAATTTTGTAAAACTGCTATATTTTGGGGCCAAAAAAGGGTCTTACTGGGCCTACTCCTTTGCTAAATACATCTTAGGAGTTAACAAAACTGCATCAAATTTGGCAGTTTTGGGAGAATTGGGTATGATCCCATGTCCTGTTGATGCTACCAAACTTTGTGTAGGTTACTGGCATCATGTAATCAATTCAAATCCAGATAGTTTATAGAATCATGTGCAAAACAGTGTAGCCGAGACCATTGATTGGCGCGCTAAAATATCCCATTGACTGGGTCAGATTAGGTGAACGTTCGTCTGTAACGCCCACAACTCACGACGTATTTATTATAGACATTTAAACTGTGGGGTCACCAAAGGGTCTCAACGCCTAAATAAAATAATTCGAAATACTAATCAGGAATAACCTTTGTGTTTTGATTTATATTGAATACTTAAACGTTCTTTACTTGTGTTTTTGTTATGTTTTGATAATGAATTTTTATGATATCGGACGTTCTTTCAGCAAAAAAGGATTTAACTGGCTTTAAAAGTTACAATGGATGTGTTGATTATTATCTTTTTTTCGGACGTCAAAGCGATTTAACAATTGCGGTTGTCCAATTATGTCATCTTTTAACTTTTATCTGGTCAAAATTTTATTTTAGAACGAATGCATGATCAACTTTAAAAAGTGTGCAAACACAAAACATATAGACAAAATATACTTCTTTCCTGTCTTTTTCGTACTTGCAAGTTATTAGACAGTAAAAAGGCTATTTGGATCAAGCCTTGTGAAATTTGCATTTACGTTTTTGAATAGGTACAGTCAAGTTTAGCGATTGATAATTCATTGATAACATTCTGGCGTATCACAAACAAACAACTTGTAACGTCTCATTTCATTGGCCGAAAGATTTAAATACAACAACAATTGTAGTGTGCACATGAATTGACACAGGTGACCGACAATGGAATGTACTACGTTACTACGAACGTAAAAAACAATGATTTTTGGTCGAAATAATTAAATAAGTATTTTGTGAATTTCAAATAGTGGGGTCGAAATATTATACTAATAATTTGTGTTAAGTAATATTCTTTATGCATGCAGCACTTGTACCGCACTATGAAAAATATAAGGATAAAATAAAATACATGTGCCGCTTTTATACGGATGAATGTATGAACCACTTTAATTTCTTTCATATTGACGCTAGGTTATTATTCTGACAATGTCGTAGTTACTTATAATAAGGATCTCATAATACTGATCCATTTCAAATTTATGATGGGTTGCACATTCCTCTTTTATTGTTTTCATGCTATAAAACGAAAATAAAGTAGCTAAGCGTTTGGTCATTCAGAAATGACGTGTCATAAACGAGCAAATTGTCCCCGAAAGATCGTATCATGTGTGCACGTGAATATAGATGTACTATGCAATGTACTATCATGGTCACCACGAAATTCAAATGAATTCAGTTAAGGCATGTTGGTGTAAAAAGGTTTGAAATGTTTCATCGGCGAAGATTTTATTTTTGCATGTGTGGAACTAAAAAATAAATAAATACTTGTAAGAAATGTCGTAGTTTATAAGGAACTATATAAATGTACTGTTTTCGATTTTAATTGGTTGAAAATTTATCCTTTAATTTCATACCGTAAGAATAGAGCTTTGCATAACATTGTTGAACTATCCGCCAAAGTAACGTGTGGCATGCGTGCGTATTAAAATGAAATACAAAATCATACATGTATGATAAACTTATAAACGAAATATTAAGAAATTAAGGATGACTACTGTAAAAGTATGTACAAAAATGGAGTCACCTTTTATCAATACATTTAGTGAATAACCACACTGTTTAAAAATGATTGTTTTCTATGCAACTATTTAAATATTTACAATATATAATTTTCAACCGAGGATAGCAAAACAGTTAATTATAAATTAAGAAAGTATATCGCTGGAGTTTATAAAGTACATTTCCTTCCACTGTGCCATGGTTTGCCATCTCCATTTTTTCTCTAAACAAAGCATGGCTGGTTACATGTTCTGAATTTACTTAGAATTTCGGGATTTTTTTTTCAAAATCAAGTTAACTAAATCAGAAAAAAAATCACACTATCCTAAAACTTATGAAAGAATATGAATAATGAACATAACAGTTTATAACACAAACCCATTTACTATAAAAATCGAGCAATATCTTTAGTATGTAATTTGGTTATTTTTGTAGTTAAGTACGGTTTCACTTCAAGTACAACGTTAATTCATCAAGTCCATTGAATAAAAGATAAGGCAGGGTGAGCAACTTGACAAAAAAAGGCAGGATGACGATTTATGTAAAAAAAATCAGGATAAACTAATAAATATAGTCAGGACCTAACAGACTGAAAAATAGAAAGACAGGACAGAGATAACAACTAAAAAAATCAGGACAAAATGTTTCATCCAAGTCCCCCACCCCAATCAAAATAAAATGGTAGCTCCCTTAATCCAGAACCAATTGAGAGGAGACAGTTGAATTAAATATTTCGACGTGACTGTTAAGATTAAAGTTTAAAATTTTACATGCACATGTATAAAAGCTAGAATTGCCATGGGATAATCAAGAACACAATCATGTACGTGAATACGACGATGGAAGTTTTTAACGACCTTGACCGGCTACGTGAATACTGATCAGTCCATTCAGCTTTATAGTTCGCGTGTTCTATTTTCGCAGGTGTGAGGTCGAATGTTTGAATTGACAAATGAAAACGATCGTTCCTTAACGAGTTAATCTAATAAAGTTTGTTTGACTGATTATGTTGCACGACCTTTCGCTAAGCTTGACCGCAGTTCAGTATACAATGTATAGTTTGATGATCTTTTCTGCTAACTACTATACTTGTGAAAAACCCTTGGCAACAGAAACATATTCAGCTTTTTTTTTAATCGACCCAATTTACATAGTAATGGACGACTTCGTACATTTTATGATCGCAAATAAAATATGTATATAATATACCGTGCACTGTAGTTCGTATATATATACTGAGACCCTTTGGCAACCCCACAGTTTAAATGTTTATAATAAATACGTCGTGAGTTGTGGGAGTTACAGACGAACGTTCACCTAATCTGACCCAGTCAATGGGATATTTTAGCGCGCCAATCAATGGTCTCGGCTACACTGTTTTGCACATGATTCTAAATTAGATTTATTCATCAAGACTTAGTGCATGTTAATAATAACTCAGACTGGTATGGAATAAAATTGAAATTGTTATTTGAAAAAGTTGGATTTAACCATGGGAAAAATAAAATTCATTTGGTAAAAATCGTTTAACTTTTGCTATTATATAAAAATAAAATTCTGGGACCATTCCATTTCATTAAAAAATATTGATAAAAGAGGAAACAAATTAAGAACCTACAAGGATTTGAAGAAGAAATTTGAAATGGAGAACTTTTTAAATTTAGATACAGACAAAACTGATATTTCAAACTTTGTAAGAATCAGGATAAGTAATAGTACCCTTATGATTGAAAAAGGCAGACATAGAAA